TTTGCATTAAAAATGACATAACTGAGCGAATGACACTTAATGACAGTTGTCATAAACACGCATAAGACACCTTCATATTCATGACATATGTCATGTCATGATTATGTATGCGTCATGTCATGATTATGAAGGTGTCATGTCAGTCTTATGCACACCCCTTCAAGTAAAGTGTAACCCAAAAAATTACTAAAATTTTAACAAAACTTAAAATGAAAATGGAAATTATAAAAACCTAATTCAAACTATTAATAAAAATTATAATTTTATGTCAATGATACTAAAAAACACTGATAACCCACCTGACAATGACCGGGCCGCACTGTTGAGGTGGGATCTGTGCACAGAGGTCCTGCAGTTCCAGCACGTCTCCTGGTGTGAGCTCGTAGGGGACGTGTGGCTGAGTGCCGGCCAGCCAGCTGTAGTCTGCAGAGGAAGAGTTGCGGCGTCTGCGAGTCTCTGCTGCCTTCTCCAGCCGGATTCGCTCGGTCCGTTTCACCATGGCACCCAGCTCCAGCATCAAAGTGTTGGTCACCAGCTCCTCTGGAGTGCGCTGGCCGGGAACCTTCGGCTCCAGGGAAAACACTACTGACCAGGGAAACATCTGTGAGAGCAACAGCCATTCAAATTTTAGTTATAACCTTCAGATTTTAACATTGAGCACTGTTTACAAGTGATTACCAGATCAGCAGATTTCATTTTGACAGAGACTTTTTTTGTTGTTGTTAAACATTTAGAAATGACATCAAACTGTATTTGGTGCACCAATACCAAGTCAACCTGATTATCTATCTGTCTGTCCGTTTGTCCGTCCGTCTGTCTGTACGTCTGTCTGTCTGTCTGTACGTCTGTCTGTCTGTCTGTCTGTCCATCTGTCTGTCTGTCTGTCATTCTGTCCTTCTGTCCGTCCATCTGTCCCTCTGTACTTCTGTCTGTCTGTCCGTTCGTCCGTCCGTCCGTCCTTCTGTCTGTCTGTCATTCTGTCCGTCCATCTGTCTGCCTGTACTTCTGTCTGTCTGTCCGGCCGTCCATCCTTCGGTCTGTCTGTCATTCTGTCCGTCTGTCTGTACTTCTGTCTGTCTGTCTGTCCGGCCGTCCGTCCTTCTGTCTGTCTGTCATTCTGTCCTTCTGTCCGTCTGTCCATCTGTCTGTACTTCTGTCTCTGTCTGTCTGTCCGTCCGTCCGTCCTTCTGTCTGTCTGTCCTTCTGTCCGCCTGTCTGTCTGTCTCTCTGTCTGTCTGTACTTCTGTCTGTCTGTCTGACTTCTCATCTATATATCTGTTGTCTGTCTTTCTGTCTATCTATATATTTCTATATACATGTATTCATTTTTAACGTAATTTATAATATAATATTAATGATAATGTAATATTTAATTATTCTAAATTATATTTATTATAATAATATCAATTTAACTATTATTATTTCTATTATTGTTGTTATAGATTAATAATTCTAATAATTTCTTGTATATGTTTTTATTATAATTATTATTTGGAAAACTTTTTGGAAAATTTTTACCTTTTTGATCCCTCAGATTATTCATGTTTTATATAGACATATTTAGTATATGTCTGACTGTTTTGGTCCACATTTAAAGGCCTGTTTCAGTGCTAAATAGTATTGTATATAATACTAAAATACAGTTTGCATCCCGTATAGTAGTGTACTATAAAGAAATTACCGCTCTATTCTATTTACACCCTTGTACTCATGCGTGGATAATTATCAAAATTGTTAATTTCGTATAGTCAACTGGATAATTATTCAGTGCAAATTATCTCGGGTGCAAATATCTGCATTGTGTTACTGGTCTTATTTGGAATTATAAAGACGGATGTAAATTATAAATATGGATGTTCAACTAAAGTTGAGTACAGGAGCAGGACACAAAGCAACAAAAATAGGTGAACAAATGTAATTAGCCACACTCTTGATATTATAGCAGCTGAATTTTATTTCGCAAATGCAAAATTTTATATATATGTATATACTAAAGTTGCAAAAAAAGATATTACCTTTCAAATAATGTGAGTTTTATTCCTGTTTTAATGTGAAATATCTTCAAATTGGACCCGAAGATGTAAATGTAGAGCCAAAATATTAAAATCCAGGGTTTGGTTTCCAATCTAAGCACTCCAGAGGAGACAGCTCTCCTTTGTGTTGTTTTAGACACTGTAAATGTGTGTATGTAATCCTATATAAATATGCAAGCTGGTATTTAGCCATCTGATTAGCTCAATGAACACACACCTTGCATACCTTGTGATCTCCTGCTCATCCGCAGGAGCTGATTGTACAATATCTCCTCGTGCGCAACATGTGTGCACTGAATTTTTTTAAATATAAATTAATGCACTGAAATTGTATTTATTACATCATGTTCATTTTAGACTATTAAGGAATTTCTAATTAAATCATTTGTGGCACTTTTGAAGAGTAACAATGCAACTTTTATTGAACTTAAATTTCAATAATTTATGACCATTAGATATATTAAAGAAATATTCACCCAAAATAGAAATTTACTGAAAATTCACTCACACACAGGCCATCCAAGATGTAAATGAGTTTGTTTCTTCATCTGAACAGATTTGGAGAAATTCAGCATTACATCACTTGTGTAATTACATCACAGTGAATGGGTGCCGTCAGAATGAGAGTCCAAACAGCTGAGAAAAGCATCACAATAATCCACACGACTCCAGTCCATCAGTTAACACCTTGTGAAGCGAAAAGCTGTGTGTTTGTCATAAACAAATCCATCATTAAGATTTAAACTGACTTTTCTGGCCAAAATAACAGTCCATAATCCATGATAAGGCTTCCTCCAGTGAAAAAGTCCATCTCCTGTTCTCTCAATCAAAATTTACCATCATATTTTTAGAACAGTTTTGGGCGGTTTTAGTTGTAAGCAGTGCTTGGTGGATTATTGTGATGTTTTTATCAGATGTTTGGACTCTCATTCTAACAGCACCCATTCACTGCACAGGATCCATTGGTGAGCAATTCATGTAAATCTAAATTACTATGAATCCATTCTGATTAAGAAACAAAGTAAAAATGTACATCTTGGATTGCCTGAAGGTGAGTAGATTTTCAGCAAATGTTAATTTTTGTCTTAACTATTCCTTTAAGTTCTGCTAGACACCAACAGGTGGTAACATCTTTACTCAGAGCTGCTTAAGGAGTTGCGTAACCCACACACACGTTGTCTTAATCATTATGTATCTGTACCCAACTGTCTGTGTCTGATCGGCCCGAAAGAGGGAGGGAGAACAGAACTGTAGGTGCTGTGATGGTTTCCGCTCTATTCAGCACTTCAGAGGTTTAATCTGCATATGTGTGATCATGGATTACAATGCACTCCTACACGTTTCTCAGAAACAAGGGCCGTGGCGATGGACATAATCTGATTACGTGCTGTTTATGCTGGTGTAGACCAGTGAGAGTGACCAGTATGTTACATAATGCATGACTGATGTACTAGTAGGTGCATCTTGTTTCTCTAATTAATTTATGCAGGGTTTTTTCTTCTTCTTATGTTTGTTTTAACCTTCATAATTTTGACTCAAAAGCACTGATTTAATATTTAACTATTTTTTTTGTTTTTTATATTTGCCCACTAGAATTTGTGGGATGCCTATTATGGAAAATACTTATTTGAAATTATATGAAATTACAATTAAATACAATACTAAAGTAGCCATAAATATCCATAAGAAATCATATCATGGTAAATCATAAACGGTACAATTTTATGTTTTTGACGAAATATCTGTAGATCTCTGTGTTTACAGAGAAACTAAACCCATATTAAGTTTAGGGTTCCCACTCCTTATAGGACTAACCCAGCTAACAAAAAATATATTCTAGGAACGTTTTCTAACTTTCTCATTAAGTTATGAAAATGTGTTTTTTATATTTGCCCACTAGAATTTGTGGGATGCCTATTATGGAAAATACTTATTTGTACAATTTTATGTTTTTGACGAAATATCTGTAGATCTCTGTGTTTACAGAGAAACTAAACCCATATTAAGTTTAGGGTTCCCACTCCTTATAGGACTAACCCAGCTAACAAAAAATATATTCTAGGAACGTTTTCTAACTTTCTCATTAAGTTATGAAAATGTTATTTCTGAATGTTTTGTGAACGTCCAAAACATCCACCTTTTTAAATGTTTAAAATGTTTTTTCTCTCTCTCGTTTATGTGAATGTTAGAGACAACATTAAGGGAATGTTCCATTTTATAATCGCAAACATTATGGGAATATTAGTTTTGAATGTTCTCTGATCCATCTGAAACTAATATATAATAGCCTTTTTTTCTTTTCTTTTTCTTTTTATGTTAGACGAAGTTAGAAGGTCCAGCTTAATTGTTTTAGAACAACATTCCATAAACAACTTTTAAAAAATTAGAATGTTAACTTAAGAACGTTAATAAAGACCAGGGCTGCGTTCAGCCCTGACAAAAATGGTGCAAAAAGTTTTTTAAACGGAAACGGTGGTGTGTTGAACACACTGTTCTGATGATGCAAGAGTTGCAACTACGGCAGCTGAGAAGGCCATTCTTTGTGTTCTTTTTGAAGAATATTCGGAGCCTGATGAAATCAGTATAAATACGTGTTTAATACCACAAAATAAGCTTGATGGTACAGTCACTGCCCTTGCCCTCCAGAATAAAGGAGAACATCCCAATCAAATGAAGGCATTTGTGGAAACTGTGGTTCCTAATTATTGTGATCCAACATTTGCCTCGCATTTCAGGATGAAAAGACAAACATTTCAGGTGAAGGATAATCCACTTCTTACCTCCGAGACTGTGTTATGATCTATATGACCTTATTATTTTTATTGTGAGTATTAGGCTTATCATTATTGCTGATCACTGTTGTTGTGCTATGATATTGTAATATTTACCATTATATAATCAGAGGGGTATAGAAAAGTTTATGAAAGTGTCACTCCACAATACAATAGCAAAATATATAAATATGTATAGTATTTTATGTTACATTAATCAGTGTCTAGCACACCTTCCTAAGGAAAGGATATGGACCAGAAGACATTGCAATTACTAAATTATATTTAGATAGAAGTTCCAGATCTATACATGTGCCCTTATTATTTCAGTTATTTTGCCTTTAATGTAAATAAACATGTGCAAACAATATACTTGCTCTTGTGAATTTATTTGGATGTTAATTACATTGTGCCAGCTGTCTCTTTAATACAGCGTGGTTTATATACATGTTGCTGCTGATTGGGCTGACATGTCTGACACACACACCAAACAAGAGAAAACGCATCTCAAACCCCGTTGCACACCGTTTCCAGGAAACATGTCGTGCAAAACGGTGCACACCGGTTTGAGCTTGAACTTGCTCCAGATAACTTGGACTGAACGTTGTATTAACGTTATTGGAGGAATGTTTGGTCATATCTTTTAAGAGCCTCGCCAGGACGTTAGCCACAGTTCTGAGAACGTCCCTGTTAGCTGGAACCAGCTCATTTCTAACCTAATTTTCTTTTCAGATCTGGAAATCCTTCTTTGAAAATAATGTCAATGTAAAATAAAGTGATATAAAACAGTCTGAAATAAAGTGTTTAATGATTTTGTTTACTCAAGTAATTTTTTAATATGATCAATGATATACTTTTAATATAAAATATTTGTATTATTTTATTTGTTGTATATATTAAATCAGCGAAATTCAGTATTATATGAAAAAAAAAAAGCTTTTAAAAGGTTCTTGTCACTGACCTGCGGTTGCCAAGAGAGGAGGAAAATGTAAAGTTTTGGTTGGGCAGTGATACAGAAAGCAACAGAACTTGAAGTTAATCAGTTAAATGTTAGTCCAACTGTACCGCTACCTGTAATAAAACCTTGGTTACTTTCAGATGCTAGAGTAGATTTTACATTGTCTGTCCAAACCTTTGCTTTAGTGAAATTATGTGAGTTCCCTTCAAAGAATAGTTCACCCAAAAATGAAAATGTCTTTATTTACCTCATTTGTTGAACAAACATAGACTAAACGTATGTATGTAGGTTGTGTGTGTGTTTGTTTATTATGCCCAGGAAGAGGTCAGTGCTGGGCAAAGTCAAAAAGTAAGATAAAGAGTAGCTGGAGCTTGTTGACACCGATCACAAGATTGATCAAAACCAGGGTTGCTTTTAGACAACATGTCCAATACACTGTCTAGTTGTGCAATACACTATACAACAAAAAAACTCGCAAATAGAACAAATAAACTTTCCTCAAAAGCCTAATGAATCATATTTGATACTCACATTTAAACATATATATTACTGAAACATTAAGAAATATTACTGAAAATATAAAATGTGTTCTTGTTTACTTTATAAAAATGAACATGAACCACGACCTGAAGGTGCATGTTTTTACAATTATACTAAAATGCCTTTTGCTTGCTAAAAACATATGAACTATCGATCAAACAACAGAAGGCATGTAGTAGATTGTGTGCAACAGATTTCTGAGCAGAGTTTTTATGATATTGATCATTTAGAGGCTTTAGCAATTCATGTATCAAATATGATACAGAAGGATTTTTATAGGGTTAACAGAGGCACTCTAGCAATGCAGAAAAGCTGCCTGCAAGGACACCAAATGGAAAGTTGGCTAAGAGTTCCAGCACAGCTGTCGCACAAACAGTGCGGGATGTGTTACGTAGCGTCTTCCTCTCTGTCAGTATGAGGAGGTGCGTGTGGAGCTGGCCATGGTTCAGAGGGAGCTTGGAGGAGTGCGTGAAGCAGTGCAGGTGGAGGTGCGGGCCAGAGAGCGTCTGTCTCACGACCTGCAGGTCAAAACCGGTCAGGTGCACTCGCTGGAAGGACAACTCGAATCTGCCAGAAAGCTGACACAAAACCTCACACAGGAGATCAAACGGTGAGACGCGCACACAAATCATCCTGTCTGTTTACATACCAAACTGAACCAAATAATATGACAATGATTAGCAGTTGAAATGTCATTTTATTCTTACCTTGCATCACTACTGTATATATTTGTCTGTATTCAAAAATGAAAGAATTTTTTAGCAGTTAAAGAGATAAAAAAAAATGGTCATTTACTCACCCTTATGTCCTTCCTAACCTGTATGAGTTTCCTGTGTTGAACACAAAAAATATTTTGAAGAATGCTGGTAATCAAACAGTTGATGGTC